GTAAAATAATGAAGAATTTTATACGCACCGTTCTAAGACATACTATAAATTAATGAATTAAGATATACCATGAATTATCCGATTATCTAATGACTTGAGATGACAAGCAATTCACATTAATTTCAAGTAAATTAGGTAATCTAATCTTATTATCGCTCAAAATCTTATTGCTGTGAGTAATAAATATTAGATATTTTGATTAAAAAGTGAATAATCAACAAAAGAAAAGCAGCTAAAAATATCGAACAATTTTTGGTACTGGTGTGTTATCGGAACTGGATTCAGAAATATATATATTTATCGATGTATGTATTCATGTATGCATATATATATGTACGTGCGAATGTATGCGTGTGCATACATATACGTACATACATAGATATACACGCATTTCTGAATCCGGTCTCCATGACGGAACAGTACCGAATTTTTCAAATCTCGCCAGAATTTAATAAAAATTACAAAAGAACTTAATTTGGAAAATAATATTTTTATCTATCACCATCAAATAAAGGTGAAAAGACCTTTGTTTCGAAGAAACTTATTTACCTTATCATCACTGAGAGATAAATGCGTATTGGAACTTACTTATCAGCACAACCAGTCACCAAGGCCCCGACATCGTGAAGCAGACTCAGCAGAAACAAACGCTACTAATATAAAATCATTACCAGTTTTTGAAGTCTATATGATGCGTGCTGCGCATGCTGGCGGCGTGCGCAGGAGCATGCGCAGCACACATCATATAGACTTCCAGTGCGGCAATGATATTAGTGTAATTTCCGCCAAATCCTTCAAGAAGGCAACCCTTCTCTGAGGAAGATAGCCCTTGCGTGCTTTGTCATAATGAAGTAAACCAAATTTTTAGAAGGCGCCAAATTTTGGCCACGATGAGCCTAACAATGCAACTGAACCAACAACGCTGTTATTTTCGAACACCCTCTTTCTGTTACACTCCAAGTTTCCAAATTTCAACAACTTTAATAAACTTTCTTTCATTTTATTTTATTTTATGTTGTCTAAGTTTTAAACTAGGAGCTTGCTGGTTTCAACTGCAATGGCAGTAACTGCAGTAAGATTCCTTTCAGAAATGCAGCATTTTGCTGCAAAATCGCTAAAGGGAAAATCTGTTCTGAATTTATTCTTAAATCATTTTTTTTTTTTTTACTTAGTACATTACTTTACGTGCTCTGCCCTTAAGGCAGGGATGCCTCGTGGAGGTCTTTTTAACGGAAACTGCCTCGTATCCACGTTGCACATGAGGAAAACTTCGAAAACGCCCATACAGCCAGCCCGTTCGCCGGGACTTGAACCCCGGAACGAACTACCAGTGTTCAGCAGCTTTTACCGCTCGGCCGGTGCCTAAGAGGAGGGATCTCTTCATGGAGTCCTTTCTAAGGAAATTGGCACATTCTAAGGAAATACGCATGGGCAAAACCACGAAAATCCCGATACGGTCGGCTCGTTTGTGAGATTCGAGCCTCGGACCGACATACCAGTGTTCAGCGACTTTATACCGCTCTGACACTATTGGACTTGGCAACCCAAGATCTGTGGCAGAAGTTTCAAGGTAACATTGAATAACAGGCAGTGTCTGTCGCTGTTTTAACAACACTATTTTAAGCATGTACAAGAAGTCATCTTCATACGAACTTGGTGTGACCGATAAGCATTTCAAAAGAAAAAATATTTATAAAATGAAAACTTACCATTTCGGAATCCAGAAACTTCTCACTTAAAAGACCAAAAGATGTTAAGTTACAAGAAATATTTTTCTGCTTTGATTCATCCTATATAACCTTGTGAAACCAAGTACCGAAAATTCCTCAAAGCTAAGCTGTTTGTATTTTTTGTTTTGGTGATGTATGTATAGACCTATTACTTTTATATGACTATTTCTTATAGAGATCTGTAAGAGTTTCAGTTCACTGTGAGTTCTATAGTTCACCGTGAGGAATCATTCAACTGCATTCGAAACATTTTTTTCGTTTCTTACTATTCTTAAAATATTTAGTACTGAACTATGTCATATGGAATATGATGTTGTAGATGCATCATAAGTTATTTTTTTAAAGTTTGCCTTTTTTGAAGCATTACTTTCCTTTTCTTGTTAATAATTGCACTGGCCTAAGCTATTTAATTTTTGTTTAAGTGTTGCAATGGTTATTTTGTGAATGTCTTGCGAAGTCAGCTCTCTCAACAAGTCACCTACCACTTATTAACTTTAGCACATCACTTTTTGTAGAATATTTGGAGTTAGAGCTGAAATTCTTGAAAAATATATTGCGCTTTTGCCCGAAGCAGAAGGGATCTTTGAAAAACTGGCTCAGTATGATTCCAGGTGCTACCAAAAATATTGTCTCCCTGTATTATATTTAGAGAAATTAAATAATAAAGAATCTGCATGAATGTATGTGTTACCGTCAAAGTTTGAAATCCGACATTGTATATAATGTTTAGAACTAGCCAACAATGTATTAAACGATTCATATTTCACACATTTCCTAGGCATTCTATAGAATAGTCTACATAGATTGTTAAATTGTTAAATTGCAACCTTTGGGTACATAGAGTCATTTAACACGAAGTTGGTTCAGAATTTCACTGGCATGGAATTGAACTATAGGCAATTTTAATGAAAGGGCGAAGACAAGAACTCTTATCTTTATACTAGCAACCTAATAATGTGGCCACGGGGGTAGGATATTCTGTTTTATAATCTCAAAACCTCACTTTAAATACACGCGAACTAAATTATAATTTTGCGGGGAAACGGAAAGGGAAAAGTGACAGTACGGATCCAAAATATAAAATAACTGGTTAATCTAATTAAAGGAACCTCACAAAGTATTCTCATTAGAATGGATGAATTTAACCCTTGACTTTGCGTTTTCTATATTTTCGCCATCGGGTGAGCGGTGTGATTACATCCTAATTGACTTAATTACCGCCCGCGAATGGCCTTAGGGCATAAAATTGAACTATCTGGTAAAAATTATATGTAATTGTATGCCAGTATTGAAAGAAACAATCAAACTGATTAGAAACGGCTGGGACTTGTATTGAAAATGTAAAAGTTAAAGTAAAAGGTTACTAGCGAGAATATTTCGTTTGGCATCGGTTGTACCATTGCTAGCGACTTTATAGGTTGCACCGGCAAAACGGAAAAGTACCGCTAAATCTGCTAAATTATCTTTTAAGGGCTTTTGCATTGTTATATTCTTATGTTCTAAGAAGTTTGAAAAACAAGAGCCTAGTCTATCCCCTGATTCCATTTATTCGAATTTCTGATTTCCTACAAAATACGGTTTTTAGACTTTCCGCTTGTTGATCACTCCCAGCAGATTCCAAAATACTAAGTTCTACTATGTTCTTCAGATTCTGAGTTCGAACATCGCTGAGATAATTCCTGATTTTTTTTTTTTTTTTTTTTTTTTTTTTTGCCGAAACAAATGTTTGATTGGAAATGTAATTTACAGAAGTATTACGGAATTAATATAAAAAACGTATTTATAAAATAACAAATTTCTTTCATATATTTAAAATGCATGCTTTATGATAAAGTGGTGGAATTGTTTTCTTCTTCACTTTGTCAAAAAGTATGTATTTTAAATACATGAAAGAGAAATAAAATTATTTTTATATATAACATTCTTCACATTTCTAATTATGTAATTCATACTGCGCATATATATTTTAATTATACTTTTATATATAAAGTGATAAATTTATCTCATTTCGATGCGTATGTTGCACTGTGTAGACCGTCTACGTCCTCAACAAGGTTTAAATTTCATTGAACCTGCTTGTACACTGTGTGGAGAAAAAAAAAAAAAAAAAAAAAAGACAGTTCTATATTTTCTGTTCTACTGGGCCGATTGAAGAAATTCAATTTGCGTTTTTCATGTCCCGAAAGCGCAACTTAAAATATGTATTAGATTTATATATAGCGTTGTTCTAATACAGTAAAACCCCGCTTAACGCGGGGGATACGTTCCATCAAAGTAGAGCGTAATGCGAAACAGCGCTAAACGAGGCTATCTTTACATGTAAATATTGGGGTTAGGGGAAGATGGCTAGGAAATTGGTTAGGTATTAAATTTAAAAAGTATGTTTAATAAAAATAAAACCAAACATTAACCATTCTTAAAGCCCAAATTAATACCGCATTATTATTTCTTGCAAAAATAAAAACAAAATATAAATAACAAAACGAATATTCTTAAAAAAAAAACAAATAAAATTCTCAGTCAGTCATATTTAGTTAGCCTTCCGCGTTTTCAGTGTTCTGCCTTTTTGTGACAAAAGCATCTAATGTTGTTTGCCTTTTTCTTTTGCGTTGTTCTCTTAAAAGTTCTTCATAAACGGATAGAGCATCTCTAACACCACGCCTTACTTTTGAGCTCCTGTCAAAATTCGGATCATTTTCAATGAATTGATCCATTATTTCAGTTATGGTAGAGAAACTCCTTTTTACAAACGCCATCGAAAGTTCTTTTTGCTCTTCTTCTGAATCACTGCTGTCAACATTTTTGTTTTCTTCTTGTTCAGTTAATTCCTTGAGCTCATCATTAGAAAAACTAGCCGCTGCTTCTTGAATTATTTCTTCGACATCTTCCACATTTACCCCTTCAAAATATGTCTGTACAATACCGCACCAAACAAGAAATACAAGTACACTCTTTCGGATATGTATTTGAAACCTATCGCTGCATAATATTTCGGGGAATCCCCGTATGCTGCGAGCGATTTCGTGGAATCCCCGGGTTGAAATAAAAGAGCGCTAAACCGAAACAGCGCTAAACGAAACAGCGTTAATGTCTTACTGTATAGGTATTTTGACACCAAATCGGACTTTTTCTGAAATGACATGCCAATTTTTTTCCCAGTAGAACGAGTGATATAGAACTGTCACTTTTTTTGTTCGTAGTGGTACATCATCAAGAAGGGTGTGTAAAATGTATTTATGTAAAGAAAAACAGTTTTAGAAACACATAAAATGACAGTGATGAAGAATGAAATTTTTATTTCACCACCTTCTAATTTTAATTACACCAAGTAAAGAAACATGAACACTCTTTGGGCGAGGAACTTGACAAGGGAATGTCAGGAAGTATGTATATTATACAATTTCATACTTATTTGCATACCAGAAATTTGAAATTCTTCAACAAGTTCGAGAAATAACAATGAGAAACATTTCTGGTTCATTGATTTTTCACGAATTGCTTTCGGTCTTTTTTTGGTACACCAAAATACTTACAAAGATGCAAATCAGTCATAGCTACCAAGAGTTCTAGTTTTGACAGAAATGTTCACCATATTTAGACGCATCATCTCATAATAGCTCACTTATCAAAACCAAGTCGCTGCATCGTATGCAGATACAAATCCGTAAGTATCATCACATAACTTAAAACGCATGAGTAAATTGGAATAATTATTCCAATTACACGGACGAAGTTCTAAAATCGTCATCTATAATTTTCATGAAAAGCAATGACAAACACGTATGATACGTGCCGTATTCAAATAACGTTACAAACGAATCGGAGAATATCCCTTTTTACATTCCATAGAAGAATTCTTTCGAATAATGATGAGGCAATGAAGTTTTACGCCTTCGTTATATTTCAGTAATGAACATAACCGCAGTCTGATTGGCAGAAGATGAGTCGTGTTGGGAACTGGGGAACTCTACCAGAAAGGACTCGAGTATTGGCACTGATACATAGGTAAATTGCGATTCCTATGAGGTCGGAGGGCAGACAAAACAGCATTTAAATTACATCTCAGGATGTAGAAGAAGTTTTATCTCTTTTGGCTCTGTGATGATGATGGTCTTCAACCTCACAATGATTATCTCTATCTGCAGCTGACAGAAACACTTTAGGACAGTCATCGGTGGGGCACGGTAGAAGACTGGGGAGATGAGTACCTTCGTAATGATCTCTGAGATGAGCCGAATCTACGAATAGTCTTTGACAAAATTTACAAGAAAACCGTCCATCTGAATCAGGCTCCAACTGCGAGTCCAGCGTCAAAGGTCTCCTATTTGTTCTACTTGTTTCGTCTTTCTCTGGAGATATGGAAGAAGGAGAAGAAGATTTAGGCCTAGGGCTAGGAGTAGAACTTATTGAGCTGATAGGCGTGTCCTCACGACCATCGGAAATTCTCGTACCACCTTCGTGCAGAGAAGAACCAGACGTTGAGGTCGGGGGCACCATGAATGCAGGATGAAAGGGAGGCATGACGCCAAGTGGTCCAGCTGGACCTAATGGATTCCCAAACGGGGTAGTAGGCAAAAATCCTTCCGCGAATCGACCGTGATATAGTTCCGCAAAATTCAGTGGCAAATTTTGAGGATCGTAAAATCTAAAATAGTCGTCTCTTAGTCCAGCTCCAGAATGAGGATAAGGAAAGATTGAGCTCTTATCGAAGAAGTGCCCTTTGTCTGCAGTTGTAGATAAAAGTTTTCGGTGTAAATTCAGATTTGCGCTATGCCTATCTCTGCTGCGTTTGGAAGGGAATGCTGCATTACAACCTTCCACAGTGCATTTATGCATAAGCTTCAGATGCACATTTTGGTAATGTGTTTTAACGCCGAAATGGTTTTGAAATATTTTGCCACATGCTATGCATCGCCGAGGATTTTCTTTGTCTACTGGTACATCTACAGCGCCAATCATAGATGCGTCTCTATATACAGGTAGCATAGACATCTGGCCGTCTGGATCAGAGTCATTAGTTGAAATACCTATTCCAGTACTAGGCATTGGCATAGGAATAGGTTGGGATTCTGAAGAAGGAATAAGTGATCTTCTTTCTCTAGGTATTTCGTGTATATTTGAAGAAGGGACTGAAGCCAAACCGAGGCCAGGGGCATGATAGGATATGCCAGTCGTGGATGCAATGTGTTGAGAAAACGTGGATTTGGTATGATTAAGAAGCCCGGTAAATGCACCTAATGATAAGGTCTCTAAATGGCGAAGAGGACTCTCTAAAACTTCTTCACTCTCATGATTATGCTTAATAATTGGTTCTTTTTGCTTTGAAGACAGATCTAGAGAACTAATTTCATTTTCTTTAACAGACAATCTTTCAGAATTAAAGTTAGATCCAGAAAACGAAGTAATGCAAGACGACCTTACATCGGACTTTTCATCTGTTTTAGATGATGAATGAGCTGGGATATTAGGTTGCAGAACTGGCATTTGCACTGGCATTGATGTAGGCAAATAAGAGGATGTCACGGGTAATGGGTTGGAATCCTTATCTAATTCATCATCTTTTGAATCATCTTCAAGTATATCAGAACTGAAGTCGTCAGACTTTGACAACATTCCGTTATCATCAACGAATGTATCACTGCTACTATCATCAGTAGAAACATATTGTAAATCGTCATCACTGGTAACTGCGCATTTTGTTGGGTTGAAACTTTTTCTCTTTCTTACGCCTTTGTTATTGACAGAAGAATTTCCATTTTGATCTTCTTTCATCGTTAGATCAATTCCTTCGTCACCATCGTTGCTAATATCACCATTAAGTTCCAGTCTTGGTTTCTTCGTCAAAGAAAGAGCTTCATCGTTAGAGTTAAGTGTTGACTTGCGATGCTGGGAAATCACTGATGAAGACTGAGGTAAATTTCCACCTTCGGGAGACGTTTCGTCAATAGTACTGGAAGGTACATTTACTTCACCTTTCACCATGTTCTCTGGTGCGTTTTCAGACAGCCTTTCTTCTCTATCTCGCTCTTGGGGCAGGGCTGGGTGAAGAGGCAGTATGTTGCCATTCGCGTTTACAGTGTTGCTGAAGTTCATGATAGTAGATGGAGGAATGAGAGGAAAGGGCAAGGAACTTCGACCATCATGGTGAGAAAGTTTCCTCCTCAAATTTGGGGTATGAAGCTTAGGATTTGGGTTGGCACTGTGTCTGTTACGGCTTCGTCGAGAACTAAACATCATATTACACCCATCAACTGTACATTTGTGCATTTCGCGAAGATGAACAGCGCTGAAATGTATCTTGAGAGCTCCTTTATCACAAAAGGTCTTCAGGCATACATGACACTGAACACGTTTTTTACCCGTGGCCGGGTTTGTGGTCAGCCCACTCAACATGAGAGGATTCCAACGTCGTTTCATTGGATTTGCAGATTTTCTCAAATGCCTCACCTTCTTAGCGGCATAAATAGAGTCTAAATGACTGTGTCCCATCACAGAAACATTATGATGATGGGAATGTGGATGCTGAGATAGATTTATGGCTTCAGAATCATTTTCTGATCCCTCATCTGTGGCGCTAAAGTCAGATGTCATACCACCGAGTAAAGAGGAATTATTGGATGTTGCATATGATTCACTTAGAGTCGTCGTAGAATGAGAGAAGAAACCTGACGTGAGAGCTGTGGTAGCAGGGGCAGTAGTTGATGATGTGGTGGTTGGAGAGGGGAGAGGTGTAGGATTCTGATGGGGGAAATGAAGTAACGGAGCGTCACGTGTGTCTGGACTGTTGTTTCTTTCCCTCCTGTAGTCATAAGGTTGCATATTTTGGAGCTTGTTCAGTGGAGATGATGATAAAGGACTATTGATGGGTGATCTTGTAACTGGAGAGAGGGATGTCGTGGAACTGTAATGAGAATAATATTGAAATCAGTATGTGTACGATGTAAATATCTTCTATACAAGCATAAAAAAGTGCAAAAAGCTTTTTAAACTAAGAGTAGAGTAAAATTAATAATGGATGCACTATTACACTTCATGAAAAACATGAATCAAGAATTGTGCTTTTTACAACTTGGAATTCAAGGTAAATTCATGTAGATTTAAGATTATTGTCTATGAATTCAATAACGATTTAAGATTATTAATTATTAACAAGCTGGATTATTTCTTTTCTTTCGCATTAACTTATGCAACGTTATATTGTTCAAATAACAATATAACGTTGCATAAGCGATCAAATAAGCATTTAAGAGTTTCATAATTGTATAGTCATATGGATACATGGCATGTTATAATACTTCCATATTTGGCGAAAATAATTCCAAAATGGGCTGTAATTGCAGCATTTGAAGTTATATGCATAGCCCTTTTTTGAACAAGGAACAATGTTTATTTTTGTAAGTCAAACAACTTAAATCAGCATTATATTTGCAAATTTTCACAGGACTAGATCTGATGGTTTTTACCGGACAATGAGCCTCAGCTGTCAAAGTGCAAATGAATGAGATGGGCTTTAGAAGCTGAGGATGGTGCTTCGGTAAAAATCATAGAAACTACTCCTGTGAAAATTTGCAAATTTAACGCTGATTTTGGTCGTTTGACTTCGAAATAAATATTTGTTAGGCGTATTGTTTTATACTTTAAATCAAGGAACAATATGTTTAGTTGTATATGAAATATATTTTAATTATTCTTTGATGCAAGGCAATGTTACGTGTTAAATGAAAATTGTATAGTTATACAATGTTTCTATGACTATCAGAAGTATTAGTTAAATAGATAAAGTATGTGGGCTCAATAGTTTCATTTTAAGTTAAAACTGTGATGGGGTAATCATTTGTGGTAATTTACAATTTAAACTAGAATGTGTTCCAAAAAGGGGGAAAAGTCGCTAATTTTTATTTAAATGTTTGTTTATGAATCGGAAGAAATCAATTAAACATATTTATGAAAAATGTCTCTTTATTATTAACCCATTAACTGCCAAATTTTGTTTCTCTCAATTGACATTTATTTCTGGGTGTCTAGATTGATATAGAGACTAGAAATTGGATTATAATTGGAATATAGATGGAATCTGCCATGAGCCCCAAATGGGGACCGACATTCAAGTAGTCCTCACCGGAAAGTAAAATTCACATTGACAATAAATAGTTAGTATTATAAACCACCACAGTTAGTATTATAAACCACCAATATATATTATAAAGCACCAGAGAACACTGCAGTATACATGAGTTGGAAATGATGTACATAATAATATACAGTATATACAGTCAAGTCTGTTCAAAAATCCTTCCAGTGAGTCAGAAAATTTTCTAGTGAATAGTAGGTTTGTACATATATCGCCCAGAACTTTAAATACAGAATACAGTCCAAGCTGAATTTTATGAAGTTCACAATGATTTGCCTTGCATAATCTCTATATTAAGCAGAAAAAAAAAACGAAAGTAAGGCCAATTTCCCATTTCTCATACCTATCTGTTAAAGAGATTTATGTACAACTAGCGATGACAAAAAATGATGGGCTTCCTCTTAACGCCAAGAAACTTCGGCGGCTACCGGAAGAGAAATGAGACGACTCTCTGTGCGAGCTAATAATATTCTTTGTTCTGGAGTGGCTTAATTAGCATAAATGATAATTTAATTGAAATGAAACTTTTATAGAAAATGGTATAAATAAGGCTCACATTAAGCTGCTTCGGCATATACCGAAATCCAATCGTTTCGGCAAAGACTGGAATCTGCTTCGAGTTTACCTAGTGGTAGTACATTTTACAGGAATCATCCGTGATGGGATAAGCTAATACACTGAGGAGCATGGCTAAATGAGTTATCGTCTATGACTTTTAAGTCTCAATTAAAATCGATCGCCCATTTCGCAAGCATGCAAAGAAGTTCTTGAGAAAACACTTATATGAGTACCGATTGTTAAGTCCTCCAGCTCATTCTTCTATAGCACCCCTTTTTTTACCGTTCCACTATTTTCATCTTGTAAACCTAGAGCAAAGGCAGCCGCATTAACACTGGTTGACAGCAGGTATTTATTTTGGATTCCGGTAAGACCTAGTACTCTGGATTCTTCATGGTCAAAGATATTAAGCTGTTTTATTTTCCTTAATTTTTGCTTGTACTTTCGGAAGCGTCGCAGTATTTTGCCACTTTTTCCCCCTCAAAGTTCTTAACAATTCTCAAAATTATGATATATTCAATATTTTATTCCATTGACTACAATAACTTAAAGATTTTTTAGACAATTTATGCCTACAATCATCATACGAAACCGAGTGTCTGAAAGCTATGGCCATTTTAATTTCACTTCAGCCTCGATTTTCGTGGTTAACCAACTAACGATGCCAGGATAGAGGTGAGGAAGAAGGGAATCCCTTCAACAACGCATAACATACCTTCATTTCTGCTCTATCGAATGATATTAAACAAGCCCCTGTCTAACAATTATGCCACGGAAATTTCTGAGAACTGATTTTATTGCGCTCGAAGTTTCAATCCTGTGAGGTACTCGATGCAAACTTGACGTTTACAAACTGAAAAACTACAGTTCAGTTTATCTATGCATAATGTACTGAAAAACTACAGTTCAGTTTATCTATGCATAATGTACTGAAAAACAGTTCAGTTTATCTATGCATAATGTACTGAAAAACTAGTTCAGTTTACCTATGCATAATGTACTGAAAAACTACAATTCAGTTTACCTATTCATAATGTACTGAAAAACTACAGTTCAGTTTACCTATGCATAATGTACTGAAAAACTACAGTTCAGTTTACCTATGCATAATGTACTGAAAAACTACAGTTCAGTTTACCTATGCATAATGTACTGAAAAACTACAGTTCAGTTTATCTATGCATAATGTACTAATGTTTCAACACATAATGTGAATGTATATATAATGGTATAATGCATAATCTAACGCATACTGCAATAATGTCCCAATGCATAATTTGAATGCACATGTAATATTTATGCATAATGTGAATGTACATGTAATACTAATGCATAATGTAAATATCCTAAATCTAAAGTAAATATCCTAAATCTAATGCATAATGTGATCTAACATATACTGTAATAATGTCCCAACGTATACTGTAATAATGTCCCAATGCAAACTGTGAATGCACATGTAATGTTCTAACGCATAAGGTGAATGTACTATATGTAATGTTCTAATGCACAATGTAAAAAATCCTAAATCTAATGCATAATGTAATTTAACGCATACTGTAATAATGTCCCAACGTATAATGTGAATGCACATGTAATATTCTGTCACATAATACGAATGTATATGTAATGTTCTAATGCATAATGTAAATATCCTAAATCTAATGCATAATGTAATCTATCGCATACTATAATAACGTCCCAACACATACTGTGAATGCACATGTAATGTTCTAACGTATAAGGTGACTGTATACGTAATGTTCTAATGCACAATGTAAATATCCTAAATCTAATATATAATGTAATTTAATGCATAATGTAACTATGTTCTAATGCATAATGTGAATGCACATGTAATGTTTATCTCATAATGTGAATGTACATGTAATATTCTAATGTATAATATAAATATCCTAAATCTAATGCAAAATGTGATCTAACGTATACTGTAATAATGTCCCAATGCACAGTGTGAATGCATATGTAATGTTCTAACGTATAAGGTGAATGTATATGTAATGTTCTAATGCATAATGTAAATATCCTAAATCTAATGCATAATGTAATCTAACGCATACTGTAATAATGTCCCAACGTATAATGTGAATGCACATGTAATATTCTATCGCATAATGTGAATGTATATATAATGTTCTAATGCATAATCTAACGCATACTGCAATAATGTCCCGATGCATAATGTGAATGCATTTGTAATGTTCTAACGTATAAGGTGAATGTATATGTAATGTTCTAATGCATAATGTAAATATCCTAAATCTAATGCATAATGAATCTATGCATTAGTAATAATGTCCCAAGTATAATGTGAATGCACATGTAATATTCTATCGCATAATGTGAATGTATATATAATGTTCTAATGCATAATCTAACGCATACTGCAATAATGTCCCGATGCATAATGTGAATGCATTTGTAATGTTCTAATGTATATGGTGAATGTATATGTAATGTTCTAATGCATAATGTAAATATCCTTAATCTAATGCATAATGTAATCTAACGCATACTGTAATAATGTCCCAACGTATAATGTTAATGCACATGTAATATTCTATCGCATATTGCGAATGTATATGTAATGTTCTAATGCATAATGTAAATATCCTAAATCTAATGCATAATGTAATCTACCACATACTATAATAACGTTCCAACGCATACTGTGAAGGCACATATAATGTTCTAATGTTTAAGGTGACTGTATATGTTCTAATGCACAATGTAAATATCCTAAATCTAATGTATAATGTAATTTAATGCATAATGTAACTATGTTCTAACGCATAATGTGAATGCACATGTAATGTTTATCTCATAATGTGAATGTACATGTAATATTCTAATGTATAATGTAAATATCCTAAATCTAATGCAAAATGTGATCTAACGTATACTGTAATAATGTCCCAATGCATAATGTGAATGCATATGTAATGTTCTAACGTATAAGGTGAATGTATATGTAATGTTCTAATGCATAATGTAAATATCCTAAATCTAATGCATAATGTAATCTACCACATACTATAATAACGTTCCAACGCATACTGTGAAGGCACATGTAATGTTCTAATGTTTAAGGTGACTGTATACGTAATGTTCTAATGCACAATGTAAATATCCTAAATCTAATGTATAATGTAATTTAATGCATAATGTAACTATGTTCTAACGCATAATGTGAATGTATAAGTAATGTTCTAATGCATAATGTTATTATCTAATGAATAATGCAAACTGAGAAGTATATATACCACTGCATATGGCGTACTGTCCCTGTATGGTCATGTACAGCATTTATTTTTGAATTTCAACAAACGTTAGGCCCGGGCACTTTGGATGAGAGTACTCCCCGGTAACATTTGGTCAGCATGACTGCCAACCGGGTGAATCAGGCGCTGGGTCTGGGTGCCTCATGCGAGGCTCCCATGTGCTCCCTCGACCAGATTCTAGATAATGGTGGAAGTGGCGCTAAACCAATTAAACCATATAGGGATGGTGCGCACCTCCTCCGTCGCTTATCGCTTATATATAAGAATCATTCTAACATAAGAATTTTAGCTACTCTTAGTACATAAATCTTCCAGACGAAATAAAATGAATCTCACCTGACACTCGAAGCTGGTTTACTGGTCCGGCTCGGCAATGATGGTACACTTGAAATTCCAGCAGAAGTGGTCGGAGTGAGTGCTAGGGGTGGCTGGGATGCGATGGCAGGAGGAACGATAGGCATCAGCCGGCTCGTCCTTTGAATGAAGCGCTTGATATCAGAATCAGAATATTCTCTAGACCCTTGAATGGCTTGCTCCATTCGCTCTGTGCTTTCTTGAAGCAGTAGCTGTTGTGCGATGGGCTTCGTCTCACCAAACCTCAGAAACTGTTGCAAAATAAGAGGTTCTTCTTCTCTGGTAGGCATGCTCCAACGTTCTAGTACCTGGCCACGAGTATCCTGTCCAAAATAATGACATTTTGAGTTAATTTTAATACTTTGTAAGGATTATGTTAATTTTATTAACAGTTAAGTTTTAAGTTCCTTTCCTGTGAAATTCTTAACTTCAACTTACTACTTCCGGCTAGAACGTAGTTTTGGAATCTTGCTGAATATTTAATGAGGAATATTTAACCACGAAGTTACTTACTGAGTCAGAGAGAGAATCAGAGTTTCTGATTTACGCGCGTCTGACTTTTTGGCCACTCTCTCTCTCAAAGCTGTTATTACGCTCGGCCGTACTCAGGCCTTGCTAAGCTTCGTAGTAAAAAAATTTAAGGGCCAACTCGATTTGAACCTTAATTGAAATTAATATTGAAATTAATAGCGCCCTTCTGGGCTAAAAATAGGACAAACTTCTTTTTTTTTTTTTCCTTTTTTTATTTATAAATATAAAACAGCAAACAAAAGCATGCGGTCGACAAATCAAAATTTTTTTTTCCTCTTAGATTTGTAATATTTTTTAATTATACAGAGGTTGTTTACACATTTTTGTAACGATTTTCATTTTCTCCTTGAATTTAATTACTAATTTTAAAATGCGAACGTGACTGCCATCCAATTTGAATAAGGTTTAGTTATCGTCTGAAGCGTTAAAAATATTCTTTTCTTTAAAAAGGCGAAAAATAAGCAGTGGATCGAAGGCTATATTTTTGCTCTGTCCAAAGAGAAATACTCTTATTCAATTTAAAAAAAAAAAAAAAAAAAAAAAAAAGCTGCCAAAACCATGGTTTTAATATTTCTACAAATAAAATAAGTATGTCTTTCATATTAATTATGTCTTAATATGAAAGACATACTAATTCAGAAGTCAAACAACAAAAATCAGCGTTATATTTTCAAATTTCACAGGACTAGTTTCAATGGTTTTACCGAACCGCCATCCTCAGCTGCTAAACTGCAAATGAACAAGATAGGAAATAATGATTAGATAAGAAAAGAAAGCTTGGACAAGAATAAGCAAGTGACGCCATCTGTTGGTGAAACCAGAACTAAAACAAAATTTCTTTAAAGACCAAAGGAAAAGATGGATTGGAATTAGGGTCGTTAACGACGTATTGTGTCTTCATTAATAAAGGCTTAGTTACCCTTCTATCTTGTTGTTTCTTGTCACCGAACTCAAGCGATTATTCGCTTATCAGTTCTTAGATTCTTCACTTCCAACATTAACTTAGAATTCCAAAGTGAGGAACTCTACAACTTAAAAGTTAATAAATGTAATGAGGGCTATTTTAACATTAAATATGTCATGAAAATAAAATTCCCTTTTTATATTCTCCATAAAAATAATTTTTTGTGATTTATGGTTTGACGTATAATAACTGAATTATACAAAAAAAATGGAGGGGGAAAACTTCATTATATTTTGTTATTGCGTTTCAAATCATCATTTCTATTCGCGGATTTCTATTAAAAACAATGCATTCTTAGACGTAAATTAAACTTAAAAAGTCTGAAATATTTTCGTACAGTCTAAATTGTAACATTCTTAGTTGCTGTAAAAGCAATAATTAAAGCGACCTTCTAGAGTCATTATGTTAATTGGAAGCAGAAAAGATGAAAAATATGCAACCGCCTTCGCCGGGAATCGAACCACGGACTTCTGCAATACCGGCCCAGCGTGCTACCATTACACCACGAAAAAACAAGAAAATGGAGGGGAAAAACTTCATTATATTTTGTTATTACGTTTCAAATCATCATTTCTATTCGCGGATTTCTATTAAAAACAATGCATTCTTAGATGTAAATTAAACTTAAAAAATCTGAAATATTTTCGTACAGTCTAAATTGTAACATTCTTAGTTGCTGTAAAAGCAATAATTAAAGCGACCTTGTAGCGTCATTAGGTTAATTGGAAGCAGAAAAGATGAAAAATATGCAACCGCCTTCGTCGGGAATCGAACCACGGACTTCTGCAATACCGGCCCAGCGTGCTACCATTACACCACGAAGGCACGCTAGGGAAGTGAAAGAAATACCTTATAACCTTTCCTTTATTAGCCCAGAAAGGCTATTAATTTCGTCTTCGCATTTTGCGTTGATTCAGCATAAACGGCGAAACACTTTTAAATTGTTGCCACCAAATATTAGAGCCTTGTATTATATTTAAAGAAATGAAATAATGAAGAATCTTCATAAATTTATGTATGTTTCTCGCATTGTGATAAAACAATGGTACCTAAAGCCATCCGATTTTGAATAGCATACGTCTCCACTAGAAGATGGGCATCTGGAAGACCGAATTTGATTTATTACCTATTACACATTTATGAGTTTTTGACTGAAACGCAACAATTTCGAAGCGAGAGATGGCAACACTGTACGGAAAATAAAAGTTTTTTTTTATCCCCAGCGCACGTGAAACTTTGTATCGGAAATTCTAAAGCTCTTGTAAATATTTTGAGATATTTCTGTTGAACTGAATTTTATGGTTTAAGTGCTAAGAACCTGATATTTAATAAACAAAGGTAACACACGAAACATTAAAAAACGCCCCTCTGGGCGTTAATATAAAATCTGAAAGCTTTTAAATTATTTTAAAGTATTGTTTTTTTAGATATATGTATGAAACTGTTACCTGTTAAAGTCTGTGTGTATTTACGGGCGAGTTATCTGCAGATAAAAACCTATATATTCATATCATTATCCCCAATAATATAACTTCTTTCTCAGAAAAACTAAAAATTACTTTCAGATAAATTACACGGATTATTAAATTAAAAGTACGATTTGGCACAAAAAGAATTTTTTTTTCGATAGCTTTTACAACGTAAGAGGTCGCCACTGAAATTCGTCTCCTTCCATGTCAAAGAATTGCTCTGTTACACTGATCTTCAAATTTTAAGCAAATATTGCGAGATAATCGATAATCTTTGCATTATTTTTAAATTATATTTACTCTGTAGAGTCATTCGGGTTCTGTTTCAGAGAAGGCGATGTGAAAAATACGCCAGGATTCTAACTCTGAACCTTCCGATGCTAGCCAGACGTCCTTTCTAGTTACATCACAAAAGCACGCGTGAAGAAAGGGGCAAAAACCTTACAATTCTTTTCTGACACCCAGTTATGTGTTCTCGTACACTTGTTAAATACACTACTAAATTCCTCGAAGCATTATTCGCAAGATATGTTTGATTTAGGAAGTACAATTTAGAGGTGCAGTTGCAAACACGGGGGGGGAGGAAATGTGATGTGGACATCACATGACTTCCTTGCACGACCTATTAAATTATACACATTTTCTGCTGCATTTCATTTACACTTACTTTCTCGAATTTCATTACAGATAGATTTCTCATTCAATTAATTCAAATCTCCCTTCGTGGCAAAGCAAAAATGTATAAAACCTCAAAACATTAAAACATTAAAAATTATGAAATACAGAAAACATAAAACAACAAACACAGTTAAAACAGTTAATAGGAACAATTCTTACAATTAAAATTCGAGTTTCTACGCAAAAACAAGCCATTCGGCCAGCGGGCAAGAAGACACTCGTTTCGGTGAACAAAACTTTTGCTTTTGATCCAACTCGGCAAAAAGACACCGAAGTTGGTGCACAAACTGACTTAATTCACTATTCTACTAAGAGTTTCAAATGTAAACAAATGGCAGCGTCATAAAGTTAGTGAAAATTGGACAACTTATAAATTGTTGATAATTCTACAACCACTGTATGCAGATTAACTATAGGCATAAAAAAATTAACCGGAACTTAAGAACAGAATAATTCAATCACTTTTAAAGGAAAAACTGCGCAATTTACTAACATATAAGGATAAAAGCACTCAGACGGGTAATATAGGGGGGTATATATACTTTTGATGTGGCTGACTGCAACCAAAAAGGGAGGTGCAAAATAGCAACCAAAGGGAGGTGCATGACTACGTGTTATAGCAGTCCCATGTACAAAATTTCATCTTTCTGAAACTAGTCGTTTTTCAGTCATGTGAGATATATACGTACAACCGTTATGAAAAAATCTCTTCAGAGTCAACTTTAAATCCATTTTACAATCTGTTTTGGGACAAAACGCCTTTTATTTTGTCCGTACGTATAAAATGTCGGGAAAAAGCATCATTTAAATGGATACGGGAGCGATCGAAATGAATATTTTCGTTGAAAGATGATACCTGAAATTTTTCGCTATTAAATACTTCCTTTACTTCGTACAAAGAAGTAAAGATATGGAAAGATATTTGTAAGGAAAATTTTTAAAAAATGAAAAGAAATAGTGATTTAGTTGTCGGCCATAATTCGAATTACGGTTATTCTAAGATGAAACTCCTGCTACGCTTACATTAAAATTATTTCGGGTTTCAAATATTTTTACTTTTGTCATGAATATATAAGAAATATAGCCTTAAACTCCACATACTTGAAATATGAAAAATTAAGCTGCATCGTCCTTTTCTTTCCTATTTAATCTAAGTATTTTAACAAATGTTAGTTCTAAAACTGAATACTTTTCATTACTCTCAAATGCAATAAAAAATTGCGCATGCGTTTTTTTTTTTAATTCATTAAATCCGATTCTGTTATTTATGATATTTTAAATAGGTTTAATTATAAAAGTATAAATAACATATTTATTGTTAATCACGACAAATTAGCTATAAAAGTTGTAGGGTTTATATTTATTTTAACTAACATTTAGTTTAAGTTTAAACTATCTTTCCTGTCAAGCCTTACTTTCCCCTGGAATTGCCAATGCCAGAGTATGTAAATTTAGTAGAACGCGCAAAGTATTCAGATTTTAAGCAGAGAGTAAGTTTGAGTTAAATAGAAGGGAAACGAGTTGTAGGTGTGCTTTCTTGCTTCACGAGCGTGAAGGTTGCTAGGTAGAATTGAAGAATCGCGCGTTTCGGCCTGTGTGCTTGCCTCGGCAGATAGTTGAATCTTTCAACTTAATATTCAGAAAGTTTGCTGAATATCAGCTGTATCTTAGAACGCGGTTA